ATATATATATATATATATATTATCTTATAAACCAGATTTATTAAAAGTTTTAAACAATTTTTAATGCATAAAATATTATACATTTATTCTTAAAAGTCTTAAAAACAACTCATAATGCATTAAGTACTACTACTTTATGCATTCAGTCTTAACATGTCTTAATCTACAACTAAATAACATATAGTACGAGTTATCAATGCACATTATTACCTTAACTTTTCATGTTCCCAAGATACTTTTGACACATTTCACTCATGTCTTCACCCTCTCATACCTCTATGTCTTCTCCTCATCTCCCAATGTGATATTCAAAGTGATATTCACCATGAGTTGTTAAAAGATATCTCATTCATCTCTCATTCAATTGCTCTATAATTCGAACTCTTGGTCTTGCTCTTGATTCTTTGCTCTTGGTATAAATCGAACACATTTGTGGAGTCATTTAAATATGTTGGATTTTAAATATATTGGATTTTAAACTGTCATACAATTTTTTTCATCGATAGACTGTAATTGGAACCATAATTCTTATTTATTCAAATTGTATTAATATGTAAAGACCAAATGTAACTTATATCATCGTTAAATCTTCTCTACTAAAACCAATGAAACTTCAAATCGTTAAAATTCACGGCTTCCGCTGCATTGTATGGATACACAACTAGCATGTATATATATATATCGCATATACAACAAAGAAGAACGATACAAACTAAATTAAATACCTCATTCTTTTAACATAATTCGCTTACTCAAAACTCTTGCACCCTCAATCACTATCCTCTAAACTCTCGTAACGAATTCTGTCTGTATCCTTTTATATATTTGTATTAAAGACATACAACTTATTTAAACTACCATATTTCATCTAATATTGTAAACAATTAATTATAAAAGAATAAATGTTAGGTTACTCTTTTGGACCATTGAATTTGTAAACCATAACATATATATGTCTGATGTGATAAACACCAATAAAATGAGTCACCATCCAATTACTTAAAAGAAAAACAAAATACCAAATTTCATTATCAAAACAACCACAACCATAACCATAATCCATGATCCATTATCCATTGGGGTCACTAATAATTTCATTATTTAAGGATCAAAACCTGACCTAAACCACCAAACAATTTTAGGTCAGATATACATCAATCCCAACATAGGGAATTTTACCCGCATATTTCTAAAATACTGGTATAAATTCGTTCTTATTTAAATATTTATAATTATATATAAATATGTTTATGTAATTTCGACGTTTCATATCAATAATGACCAACCATCGTGACGCTATTAACGTCTAACTAAATTTTCACACTTTTAAACAATTCCGTTTCTAAATCATTATCATCATAATTAGCAACAAGATGACTTACGTATCGTATAATTTTGGCTTTTTAATCAACAAAAAGAATTGAATAATTAGGGATGAGTTACCAAGTTTTTTTTTTTCTACAATACCATGTAACAACCAATTATAATTGGTGTGTTAAATCTTGTACATCTACCAACCAACCGTTCTTGGTACCAATTTTTTTGTTGGTATTGTTTTCTACCAACTTTATGTTACATATATGAAAACTTGACATTTTATTAAAACTTTGATACTCTGACTGGTATTTTGAATTTACAGGTAATACATGTCATCTTTAGAGGTTTCAAGTTACAGTGTTTAATACACATACACACTAGAACATGTTGGCACTCGTTTAGTAGCAACCTGAAGGGCATTGTAACGGGGACGAAGGCAATGAGAGAGAGGGAGGGACAACGAGTGATGATACACATTTGGCGATTCAGGGTTAAATTGGGATTTAAGTAAGAAAAAAGAGGATGAAATGATGATGTCAAATGAAATAGAAAACTAAAAAAACTTTTAACTTTAAAATTCAAAACTCAAAAATCGAAAGCTATATTTTACTATTAATTAATAAATAAGTTAGTATTATAATATTATCATTGTATGGATTTTCAATATCATGTATTAAATATATAAGTTCACATACTCTATATGATATTACAAATTAACAATAATTGTTACCAATTAAATTGGTACGATTGGTATATATGCTAAGTGGTACAAAATTGTCAACTCTAAAATAAACTAATGCTTGTTATTCTTTGGTTTTAAATACTTATTTTATCTTGGTTTAATTTGTCAATACATATCCAACAACTATTTGATAATAATACCGAAAATACTTCTTAACAACTAAGAATTATAATAAAAAAAATTAAAATAATACCAAAAATACTTCTTAACAACTAAGAATTATAATAAAAAAATTAAAATAATACCGAAAATACTTCTTAACAACACAAAATTATGAAATATTGAGAATTATAATAATCTCATAAATATTTATGATAATAAATAAATAAATTTGAATGTAAGAGAAAGAAAAGACATTCCCTTTCTTAATAATGCAAAACATGTCTTATTTTCCTTTGATGAGTTTTTGTAATAATTTATATTAATTGGAAACTTTATAACATTGAAATTAAATCCATTGCATGTGAACATAAACCATAATATATTTCAAAAGTCAAACTCTTAAATAATGAAATTATTTGATATTGAAAATCGTACCTTAATTTCAAATAAAATATATCATATATTTAATATGATTTAATTTATTTGATATTATTAAAATATATTAACAAACAAATAATATTAAGTAAGTTTAATAATATGCATCAATAAACAAATAATAAATGCCTTATTTTATAATATTTGTATTTTTTGTAATATAAATCGTGTTTTTATTTATTTTATTCAACTACATTATATATTATAAAATATTTGACCGCTTATAGACATTATATACCTCTTGTTAATGCATGGTCTATTCAAATTCAGGTTTAAAATAAGTTATCACTGTATGCATACAACTTTTGAAAGCTTTATGTTTGAACTTAATTAAATCAACTAATAAACCAGTTCAAATATAAAATAAACTTTGAATGATAGAATAATCCATAAATCTCAGATTTATTAAAAAATCAATAAAAAAATACTTATAGGCCTACCGCAGGTCTGAAACATCAGACATTCACAATAAATTCGAATTTTAACCTAACATTTTGATAAAAGTTATTGATAATCTACAACTTTAACTTTATAAAAAGTCAAAAATCAATTATTTCATCCATATAAAACGGATTATTACAATTTAAGTACACAGTTTATAAAAAAACATATTTAACAATATTAATTCTTTTAAATTTAAAGGGCGAAATAAAAAAATGATATTTTTTTGTTTTAAAAGTCAACCTCACTAAGGTCAAACAATGAGACACACTTCATTTGTAAATCGACTACGTGATCACGTCGAAATTGAAATCACGTTTATAATTTAAAATATCTGTAATATTTATATTATATTATAAAGTATTTGATAAAAACTCTTAAAAATTATTTTTTATGCATAAATTATTGTTTATTAATGCATATTATTTAAAATTTAAGATTACAAGTAAATTATGCATAGTTACAACTTATTAGAGCTCTATTTTTGAATTCGTATAACTAACTGCAGATAAATATAATCAAATACAAGATAAACATCTCATTTTAAATATAAAAAATTTAAGATATAATTAAGATAATCATTGATTTCTAACAGAATTCATGATCTTTATAAAATTATATTGTTAAGTCAAAAATAAATTAATTCGTTATTACACCTAAATTAAACTATAATAAAAAAACTGCATTAAAGAAATAGTAAAAAAAAACAAAAACTTTTATATAATTAATTTGATATTAATATCGATATATTTTTTCAAATATTTATAATATCATCAAGTTTATTTTTATTCAAAAGTAAAAAATTATTATTCTCAAAATCACATAAACTGTAGTATGTCAATATAAACAAAAAATAAACGATACATTAAAATGAATATGTATCTCGCTGCATTACGTAGGTACTCTTTTAGTTTATAGATAAGGTAGAGTTTCAAATAAGGAAATAAAAAGGTTGAAAACGTACGAAAAATGAAAAAAAAAAATCATGTATGTATTTTTATACGTAAATAACTCGTAAAAAGTATGTAATCAAACTTAAGTTCATATATGCATATTTAAATGAATTTTTTCGGCTTTATCAATAATTTACATAAAAATAATTTAATTTTACGTTCTCAACTTTTTTATAATTTTATTTAAATCCTCCTCTTATAACTAAAATAAACAAATTAAAAATCAAATTTAAAGTTTAATTGCTTAAATCTATTTATAAATAATGAATTTGAATATTTTTTTAAATAATTTTTTTCTACGTATAATCATCGCAATTTCATGATAACATTGGTCTTTTAAAAAAACTTATAATTATAAAATTTTAATTTAATATATAAATTAATAGTAGCATATTATGTATATAATTAAATACTATTAAAATAAAAAAGGTGAAGAGAAGAGATGAGATGGGTATGAAAGAAAGACGTCTCCAAGTTACAAGGATGGAAAGCATAATGTACAAGCATATAAAGCATTGATGTGGAAATTCGAAATTTTAATGCGTCGCTGTTTACATGTGTTGTTTGCGACTATCGGGTATTGCCGGCCTCTTTCCTCCCTCACACACAACACAAGAGAGAAAAGCATATACCTATAACAAGAATCTCTACTCCCTCTATAAACACGATACTCTCTCCTCTTCAATTTTCCAACTGCTTTTCAAATATCTCTTCTCATCCTCGCCTAATTCTCAATTTTGGTGTCAAACAACCACATATACAATCCAAATTCAGAAAAAAATGGTTGTGGGTATGATGAAATGGAGGCCATGGCCACCACTTTCATCCAAGAAATTTAAAGCCAAGATCATCATACGGCATCTTCAAGGATTGCCTGCAACTTCAGATGGTGGGTCTCAAGATCTTTCGGGATTGGCTGTTGAAGTTAAGTGGAAAGGCTCTAATAAGTCCAACAATCCGCTGAGATTTAAGAGAAGTGTGAGGAGGAATGTTACCAAGGAAGGATTTTTGAAAGATGATGGGATTGTGGAATGGAATGAGGAATTTGATACTGTTTGTAATTTCTTGGGTTTGAGAGATGGGGGTTTTCATCAGTGGGAAGTTGCATTCACGGTGTTTGATGTAAGTCCTCAACCCGATCAACTTGAATCATCTTGTTGGCTTCAATTACTTTTATTGTTTCTAACGATAATCTTATTCCGTTTTATGTTTTATCACAAGAATTTTTATTAACTTTTGTCCTGCGAGTTGAAATTTTCATCAATCAAGCCTCATCTGAGATTGATTTTGTATCTTTATATAAAGAATCTTCGAAAATTTTGTTCATTCAACTCTTGTATTTTTTGGGGTTTTGACTTTGTAGGAAGATCAAAGTAGGTTTTCTGTGAAACTATTCATTTAGTAGTGAACTGGAAGATCTGATTTTAGATCCTATTGGGGGTGGTTAACTGGCGAAGGTTTTGATAGATGTCAATTTCAACCATAAATATTATTTTATATTTTTCCCTTTATGGGGTTCAAAGTTCTCTATATATTCAACTCATAATTAAATTTGATCAGCAGATCGCTTTCTTTAACTGAAAGCCATATATGGCTGGATCAAAAATGACTGTATACCAGCATATGTCCAAGTTCTTTCAGCAAAAGGGTCTTGTTGGTTTGCAGGATATGATCCAAATAATAAAAAAGTTTTAGGGATAACAACTCTTCATGTATTGGCTCCTATCTGCTACTGCTACTGCTCGTGTTCATGTTCATGATCATGTTAGAGTTCATACCGCATTTGATCTTGGTATAGTATTACTGGTGTAATTGTATAAATATGACCACTTGAGGATCAACAATCTCCATCGAGATCGATACACGTATTCCTATTATTTTTAGTGGTTCATTTGGGTTAAAGAAGAAAAAGTTATGCCTCGAGCTTTCCAATATTGAACAATAGAGTTTTTGTCAATAAAGAGGGTAGGCCTTTTAGTATTCTATCCAATTAAAAGCTATAGTTGGCCTTTAATTATATCTATATCCATCTTCTAACGTGCCGTTCCTATTGAGTCACCATGAACAAGGATGAGGTCTTCTGGGCATACAACCTATCTTTAAATTAAATCAAGAGGGAATTTAGAATTCTATTTCTCAAGTTATTTTCCTATTTTTTTACTTTTCCTGCCAAAGTTGACTTGGAACAGAGGAATACCCTTAAGGCTAGTAACTGTTAAGCAACCTGCCCCAGATACCTTTATTATATTTTTCTACAGAAATATGCTATCTTTTTAGGAATTTGGCCAAAATAGACATTTATGACCTCCCAATTTAATTTATAGTCGCTTTTTTACATAATATATCAAAATAGCCAAGATTTCTCAAGTCCAACTTTAGCTATTTGTGAAATTCATTTTTTATGAAAATATAATATTCATAAAGTAGCAATTTTACAAGTTGTTAAAGTTAAAGTGTTACTTGCAAAATGCTGACATAGAATGGTCACTTGCTAAATTACTACTTGTTAAACTTGCTAAAGTGGCAAGTTGCACTTTAACAACTTGTTAAAAGTATTTATTTTATGAATATTAAATTCTTAAAAAGTAATTTCTCAAGTTGCTAAAGTACTAGTTGTGAAATATGGTTATTTTGCATCGGTTGAGTAGAAAAGTAGCTACAAAATGCATTGAGGAGTTCGGGATGCCTATTTTGGATAATTTCCCTTTCTTTTTTCCTTTCGCCTTGAAGTTATATACATGTATAGTATGCATACTCTTTTGAGCGTCCCTAAAGAGATTTGAACTCAACAACTTATGGTTGTAGAAGTCCACAGATACCATTGGGCCAAAGACGAGTTGGTTTTATGTGTAGGTTTCTCATTGATTCTGTTAGCCTTTTTTGACATTGTCTGTCTTGTTCAGGGCTCAAATCAAGGACCAAAAAAGAGGTATTCTGCTGTTGCAACTGGATCGTTGAACCTTGTCGAATTTTCTTCTTCTGCTGAGCGAAACGAGACTGATATAAGCATTCCTCTTTCAGCGACTAGTAGCATCACAGAGTGTGGACCTATACTTTGTGTAAGTGCCTTCAATTTGTCCTTTTTGATCATTGGGTTCTCAAATTTATGTATTAAAGTCTTTGTTCATCAAATATGCAGGTATCTCTCAGCCTGCTCGAGCTGAGGATTCCACACGAGAGTACAGAACAAGCACATGGGTCTGTTATACCTCTTCCATTGTCACCCCATTATGGAGAAATCTCAATTACGGAGAAAGATGAGCGATCAGGTCTTAAAGCCGGTCTTAGGAAGGTCAGGATCTTCAGGGCAATATCAGTTAATCAGGCTAAAAAGGCATGTCGTGAAGAAGAGGGTAGCGATGGAAAAAGCTCAGTCAGAAGTTACGATGCTGACTACCCATTTGACACTGACTCACTTGAAGCAGATGAAGTTGATTCAGAGGAAGTAAAAGATGCTGATTCTACTGTTAGGAAGTCTTTCAGTTACGGAACTCTGGCATATGCAAATCGTGCTGGAGGGTTATCTTACTTCAATTCAAGTTCTAGTGAAGATGAGGATTGGATTTACTACCGCAATTATAAAGAAAAATCCGATTATTCAAGTCCATCTATCATCGATCCCTCAGAAACACAAAGCACAAAACGAAGCATCTTCCCATGGAGGAAGAGGAAGTTGAGTTTTAGATCCCCAAAAACTAGAGGAGAACCACTTTTGAAAAAAGATTCCGGAGAAGAAGGTGGAGATGACATAGATTTTGATCGCCGAATGCTGAGTTCTTCAGACGAGTCCACTTATGGGGTAAATTTTTCTCAAATCTTTATATAAATCTGTCTTAACTTTAATAAACATATGATATTCTTGTAATGAATAATGAATTACCTTATACTTTGAATTGACTTTTGGTTATGAACTTGGCTGCAGCCTAAAAGTGAGGCGGACATGAATGCAAACAGGTCTTCGATCTCTGAATTTGGAGAAGACAATTTTGCTGTAGGTACGTGGGAGAAGAAGGAGGTGATAAGCAGGGATGGGCAGATGAAGCTCCAGACCCAAGTTTTCTTTGCTTCAATTGATCAAAGAAGCGAAAGAGCAGCTGGTGAGAGTGCATGCACAGCTTTAGTCGCGATTATTGCAGATTGGTTCCAAAACAACTGGAACGAAATGCCAATCAAGTCCCAACTCGATAGCCTAATTCGAGAAGGTTCATTAGAGTGGAGAAATCTTTGTGAGAACGAAGTTTATAGGGAGAGGTTCCCAGATAAGCACTTTGACCTTGAGACCGTGCTCCAAGCCAAGATCCGTAATCTTGCAGTAGTCCCTGAAAAGTCATTCATCGGATTCTTTCAACCTGAAGGGCTCGAGGAGGGTGATCTTCACTTTCTTGATGGTGCTATGTCGTTTGACAGCATATGGGATGAGATCAGTAAGATCAGTTGTAGCCATAGTGACAACATGAATCCATTGGTCTACGTTGTAAGCTGGAATGACCATTTTTTCGTGTTGAAAGTTGAACGGGATGCATACTACATTATCGACACATTGGGAGAGAGGCTTTATGAAGGATGCAATCAGGCCTATGTGTTGAAGTTCGATAAAGATACAACAATAGAGAGACTACCAACTGAGGATACACAAAAATTAAACGAAAAGACAGAAGGCGAAAAGGTGAATGCGAGTGAAAGCAAGGAGACTGAATTGGCGGTTGTCGATAGTGAGAAAGAGAAAGCGGAGGCTATGGTGTGCAGCGGAAAAGAGTCATGCAAAGAGTATATAAAGAGGTTTTTAGCTGCAATTCCGATAAGAGAACTGCAGGCTGATCTGAAGAAAGGGTTGATGGCGGCATCGACACCACTTGTTCATCATCGGCTGCAAATCGAATTTCACCAGACCGAGTACTTCCAGCCTCCGAGCAACGAGACGATGGCTATTACGGTATGAATTAACACTTGGTAACTGATGTTAATTGTTTTTGTAGCCTAACACCCCAAAAAAACCATGAATGGGTTAAAAATAATGAAATCTCATTCGTGTCCTCTTATTTTTGATGGGTTTTTCCGACATTGTTGTGAGGATGGAAGTTATAATGTAAATGTCTAATATGCATGAATCTGTGTTAAATGTTCGGTGTTGATTACTTGTGGATGTTATATAGCAAATATGTACCCAATAAATTACATAACATACTCAAACTTTGCTTATTTTTATTTTTCGACATTCTTACGAATTTTATCTTGATTTTGTAAATAAATTGATGTTTTACTTATTATGATAACGCAAATAACCCTTGTATTCTTTTGAGACTAAACGTAATAATCAGTTAATGTTTTTCCTTTATTATCAAAAATAGAACTTGTAATGTAATTATATAAAATTTGAATGGAAATGTAATAAATGGTTACAAAAGAAATAAAAATGTAAAAGAATGCATTACAAATATTCAAACACATTTGATCATTACTTGACAATGACAACACACCCTCAACACAGGAACCAAAAAAAAATCAGCAGCAAATGGGGCATACCAGCAGCCCGTTCTCGTTACACTCCGAACACTTCTCCGGCAACCCTTCGTCACCGGAATCTACCTTCCGGCTACCGCTGCAACTACGACACACCACAAACCGAACTCCGCCGCACCCTTCGCAAACCCCTTCAGACATGTTTAATGGGATTCCAGCCAAAAGTGGCCGGAATTTCCCTTGCTCGTGCAACCGTAGAACTTCCTCTGCTCCTCCGATGTATCTTCCCTTAATAAACAGCCTCGGCGGGACCACTTTTCCGCCCAAAATCCGCCACAGTTCATCTCTGAAATCCAAGTGCATCGATAGATCTCGTTCGTGGTATAGAACCCTAAAACTTTCTAGTAAAAATCGTATACTCGAGCAATCTTCGAATGTCTTTCGGATGCTTCTGAGCCCTGTAGTGTATAGAATGACCGAATTGCTTCCTCCCGGCGGACAGATTTTCTCGAAATCCGAAAGGGGATTATTGATTTCTTCTAATTTGAGCGATTTCAATGGCGGTTCTGGTTCTGGCTCTGGATCTAAATCGGCTCCAATGTTCTGTAAAACCCTGTTTCTTCTCTCTGTTTCTTGAGCTTTAACCTCCAAGACCGCCTGCTCAAAAGCAGCCAACAGTTTAGGGTCAAAAAGCGTGCCAGAATCCAAATCCGGTGGCTGGAAAGACGAGATGTCAATCTCCGACAAAGGGGTAGAAGCAAAACTTTTGGGATTCCCATGTACCAGCTTCTGATCAGCAACCGGGTCACTCATGGGTCGAACATTCTCTTTGTCCCCAACACCAAAATCCGAATCGGATTCATCATCATCTTCAAGATCCTTCATGAGCTCCGATACATCGATGATTTCATGTTCATGGACTGAAACACTACTCTGTTTTTCAACCTGCGTTTCTTTTTCTTCTTCAGAAACCAAATGGGTTTCAAGTTTGTTGCCCGATTTCACAAAGAAATTATCGATAAACCCGTCGGCTGCATTAGCATGAAGAATCCGATCAGGTTTCAAGTAGCCGATTGTTTTAATCGTCTTCAATTTCTTCAAGAACTTCCCCTTCACACCCTTCATGTTCTTCTTCTTCCTGACCTGTATATACAAAAACTGTATGTATATATTTCTTCAGGCGCATTCAATTTCTTGAAGAATCAATTGGGATAAAAATGGGGATTTCAATGAGGTTAGAAGTGAAGATTGTTGGCTTCTTTTATCTTCTTAACGGCTAGAAAGATTATGGGGGCGTAGTTTTAAATTTTGTAACGATAAGGTAAGAAGAGGTCCACTATTAGCTGGAGTGGACCTGATTTTTAGGCCGTCAGATGTGATATTTAACACGTGTATGATTATGATCGGTCGAATAGTAAGCACTTTATAGTGGTGGCAACGGTCGAACGGGATTATGGCGTATTTTGGCATTCCTTTCCAATTTCTTTTATTTTACCAAGCAACTACTGTTTCATACACAATTTAATAGTAAATCGATCTTTGGTTAACGATTTCACTCATAAAATAGTTTTGAGCCACGAACCCATGACAACAATTAGGGGTGCTCAAAAATCCAACCAACCCGATCAATCCAGCCCAATCTAACATGAAATAACTTAATGTTAAGCAACCCGATGTCTAATTAAGTTGTAAAATTGTCAAACTGTAAGTATTGTGTTGATATTGGATTACTATTATTTGAGTCCAACCCAACCCAATGGACCCAATATCCTTTTATTTTTTAGATTTCATAATGACTGTAACAATATCCATCAATACTCATTAATTTATAAAACGCCTAAAAAAATTTAAGCGTCATAAGAGAATACTTTGTAGAAACAAATTTTTTTTTATCTAAAAGTGTTACAGTAAATTGATAAGAAATTTTTAAGTGTTTTAACAAAAAAAAAAACATTTTTAAAATATATGTCGTATTAACTATTTTATATGACACTTTTGAGAAATAAAAACTGATCATTTTATAAAACACATGTGTTTATAGAATATATTTTTCTCTAATAATTTAATATAAAATAGTTGATATAAAAATATGTCATATAAAACTTGTTAAACATCCATTAACATCCTATAGGTTAAGTTATATATAAAATACTTTATTGTAAATTTTAATCAGACGAAATAAATATTGGTTGACGATTAGAACCGGATTATTATTTATCATTTCATCAATTGAAAGTAAACATTTGACATTATTAAATAACCTAAAAACCTAAATTTTGTCTATTTTAAATAAATATGACGATAAATTTGAATAATCTAATATAAGGAATATAATCCATGGATCGAATATCATGTTTATAAATAAAGACATAAAGACGATAGTGATTTGGCAAAGACTTGATTGAAGTATGCATAATACATGTGTTCTCATCAATTCAAGTATTTTATTACTACGTATTGTATATGCTCATTGACCAGTCAACTCAAGTTGTTGAAGTAATGGTGGGACTTTCTTGGCTACCGGCGAGTTCCGACACACCGGACAAGTAGGATGAACCTTCAACCATGTGTCTATACAGTTCACATGAAACAAGTGGCCGCATTCCGGCAATAAGCGGACGACGTCCTCCAGTTTATAATCAGCCAAGCAGACAGAGCAACCAGAGGCGTTGGCATCGGCAGGAGTGACACCCTTGTGAGCCATCGTAGCCTGAGAGTAAAGAAACGTCGGAAAAGTCAGGAGAACATCATCATCAAGGCCTGGAGAGATTGTTATAAGTCGGTGGTCGACATTATTGTGGATGGTGGCACCGAAAGAGATGGTGGGTGGTGGTGATCGAGAGCGTTTGCAGATGTAAGAAGTGAAGGTGAGGGTGAGTAGAAGGAGGATTAGGACAAAGAATCCGACGACAAATAGGTAGTCACTGATTCCTTGTGATTTACCGGTGGTGGTGGTCGTGGTATACGGTGGTTGTACGGAGTCCTGTGTGACGTTCATATTATGAGTGAGAAGAATTTAAGGTTGGAAAGTTGTGAATACGAGGTTGAGAAAGTTCCACAAAAACAGATTGAGAGTGCAATTAAAGACTTTGAGTTGGAGGTTCGAATTTATGTTTATGGATGGAAAGACTTGAAACTTATCCAAGTTTTGTTTTCATTTACTTAGTTTCATTTTTGATTGACTTCTGAACGAACATGTGAAATTAAATAATAATAGTTTTATTATTTTAAGATTAAATAAAGTTTAAGAAATATTATGTATAGTTATATCCGTTATGGAAATGCGAGTGGCGGAAATTATATATATATATATATATATATATATATAGGAAAGTCAACTTATGTCATTTTCTATGGGCGTATAATTACTGGTAAAATAACAAGTAGTATTTAGTCGCGTCAAGAAGGTTGATCTTGGAAGCAAAGGAAATGAAGTAAGCGAGAAGGGATCTAAACGTTTTAAAACGATATAATATGAAACAATATTAAAAATACGTATATGCTAAAATAACCCTGGTTGTAATTTTTATATGGTTTGTATTTGAATTAGCATATATATATATATAGAGAGAGAGAGAGAGAGAGAGAGGGGCCTGTTTCTGACATTTTTTAGGCCCTGAGCGAGATGTAAAAAAGGGTCCTCGATAAGTACGATATTTTTTCAATATATTGTTTTTATCATCCGAAATAACATTGAATTCATATAAAACCATTTTTCCGAGTATTCCTGGACGCAAAATCAATCGATACTTATTTCTAAATTAATATTATCTACTAGAACATTTTTATGTAGTATCAGGAATTTATTTCATCATCAAAAACATCGTATGATATAGTTTTGGTACATAGAATGATATCATCTGTAGTCACAAAGTCGATTCTTCTGATTTCCGAGTTACACTATGTAAATCAATGTAAATAGGTTGGTTTTCCATGTCATCTCATGTTAATGTTTTTTAACATCATTTTAAATTTTTATATCATGTTTTCGAATTTGGGAAGATTAACATCATTTTAAACTTTTATACTATGTTTTCGAATTTGAGAAGATTAACACAATTTCAAACTGTTATATTATGTTTTTGAATTTAGGAAAGAAAGAAAAAATGAGAAAGGAAAATAAAAATAAAAGGAAAGAATAAAAATAAAGTTTTTTATTTGTGTTTTTATTAGAGAAGAGAGAGGAAGGAAAAATAATGAAATAAAAATGAATTTTGATATAATTTTTTTCCTTTCCCTAAAAAAATCTCGAGAACATAATATTTTTCTTCCCCAATTACTTTCCTCTCTTTCCTACGTAAAAGAAGACTCAAGAACATAGAGTTAGTGTTAAAAAAAACTTGGAATCATCAATTATATAAATTAAAAAAACTCATGTTGGGGATAATTTGAGATCTTATTCTTCTTTTAGAGATAAAATAGTACATAAGATTTATACACTAAATATTAGATAATAAAGAACAACTATGAAAAAACAATTACAGTTTTATTATTCTAAATATATATATAAGTTGTACCGTCTTATATGGTTAATACTTTTTTCAAAAGATGGGGATTTTGTTAGCTAATAACAAAAAAAATCTATCATATTCTAATATAAAAAATAGAATTCACGCAAGAATGGAACAATCAAAAGAGTCAATGGGAGATAAATTATGGAGAATATATCAAAGTTTTCGAAGCAAGTAGTTTTAGACGTTGGTTTTAGATTAAAAAACCTAGAAAAACATTAAATAATATTATATAATGAACGACAGATTAACATCTTTATACATTTTTTTCTCCAATATATTTAATTAATACATGTTTGGGTCTTTAATAGTTAATGTAGTACAAAAATATTTTCTTGTCATATTAGATACTAATTTTTTATGTGTCTTTTATTTACTATTTTTTTTAAACTACTATTATATATATTAAAAAAATTTGGGTCCCTAATTTTTATGGGCCCTGGGCGTACGCCCGTCCCGCCCTCCTCCAAGGACGGCCCTGGAGAGAGAAACAGAGAGAGAGAGAGAGAGAGAGAGAGAGAGAGAGAAAGAGGCGGAACACAAGCTTTCCAACCGTAGGGGTAGGACCTGATATATTATATATTTTCAAAAATACAAAAAATACACAATCCAAAGTTAAAACATAGTAGAACTCTAAAACTAGACGTCCAATATGAAAATATCAAACATCGCTAATCAAAGTGAACTTGTCGATCTTTCGCGGCCTTGAAGTCCTCCACAATTTCCTTAGAGCGTTTATGTTGTAGTATCACGTACATGAACAAGTCCAAAGAAACGCTTTATAATGAATCCCTCTTTATTAACAAATCTCAAAATAATAGACATTTGCTCTTTTATGAGACTCATCCCGTGCTTCGTCAACCAGTAAACAAAACTTTGAACCACCAATTTCCTCACAAATTATTTGTCTCATCTTATTTGATATAAGATCAAAAGTTCTTTTTGAATCAACTGTGATGTGTATGATGCATATATGGGAGCACACAGAATAACTCTTTAAGCTCGATGCTAAACTCACCAAGTGCCTCCAACACTTCAAGAAAATTCCCCCCGTTAATGGAATCTAACTTTTCATTGTGGCCTCTAAATGCAACCACTTAAAAGGCTCATTGGCTCAAGTAATAACATTTTAAACCCAATCAAAGTATCAAATTTTTTTTGAACCTTATCATTAATCAAACAATGTCAAACAATAACACCTTAAAACTCGAATAAAAATATAGAATGAAAAAACCACTGTGATTTAGGGGGTGTAATCGGATTATTTGATGAAGATGAAGTTGAAATCACATATATTCCACTTGCATTCGGATTTGGTTCTTCATGTTGCTCTTCCATGGAGATTGGAGACTGGAGAGGGTGAGACCACGAGAGGCTGGAGGTCGAGACTCGACTCATTCGAGAGTGGTCAACGCGGGGAGGAAGGATATATCAACAGGTTTGTAATTTCAATAATGGAAACTAGAAATTGTAATTTTGTTCATAAGTTGCTCGCGTAAGTTTGTCGGTCGATATGGTCATGTGGGGCATGTGGCGATGAAGAATCAACTACTTTAGACTTTAGTTGGATTGGATTAAAAGCTTAGTGGACTCTAATGTGGGGGGCCAGATTAAAAAAAATTGGAATTAACAATTAAAAGCCCAAACTATATATACTTGATGAATCAAAAAGCTCAGGGGCCAAAGCCCCTAAAGGCCTATAT